ACCGAGCACGCTCTCTAGGTTGCGGTCGGTGATCACCGACGGGTCGGTAATCACCGCAACTCGGTATTCACCGACGGTCGGGGACCACCGCAAAACCGTTGGTGATTACCGACCAATTTTCGGTGGTCATCGACCTAACACTAATCACAATTCGAATATATTTTCCAATCAACTAAAAATTCCCCTAAATAACCCCGCTAAACAATAGCTCAATGACGCACAAATCTTCTTTCCGTTGATATGATCAATTGAAACTCACCAATGCCACTCAGCGCTTTTCTTAGAGTTTCACTTGCAAGTTCTGGGCGGAAATGTGGACTGTCTGGACCAACAACGGTTCCACTTAAATCGTCATACTGAAAAGTGCCCTTTTAGAAGTGCACCAAGTCATTTCCGAGTCTGCTAAATGAGATACAACATCACCCACCTGACTTTCATACATTTGATAAATTAACGGCATCGTTAATCGTCTTAAACGTCCTCTCCTATTGCTTGCATCCTCAACCTCCACGTCGTCAATATCCATTGAATATTCCTTTGAGAGCTGCCTCTTAAATCGACTAATTCGTTGAAGTCATCATCACGAATGTCGTTTTCTGATTAAACATCACTTTTCATTTTCTAAACTCTCCGTATAATTCCTTTTAATTCTAAATATTTTCAATATTACTCAATTTGCGATCGAATCCAAAAATTTCGACGATTTTATCGCGTAAAAGCGATTGATTCGACGTAATCGTTTACTAGTTTCACTCTGTTTCGCTTCCTTTCACTTAAATGCAAGCAGGTGTTTGTCAAATGCAGTTTATTATGCATTAATTCAGTTTCCGTTTCATCTGCAAACAGCCATCGACGTAATCAAGCAATTACTGCATTAAGCAAACTTCTTAAGTGTGTAAAGGCGGAGACTTGAGATTATCCGTCTCGTAAATATCATTACAACAGATAGTTGTTTCCATTAATCATGTATAATTTATAGTGAAGTGCAAACGGGAATGATAACAAATTGAGATGAAATCAAGGAATTCAACCTTAGCAGTGGCGAATTTCGCTTGATGTAAAAGAATGATACAATAGCTAACTGTGGTATATCTAGTATAGCGATTCACAATTAATGTGCTTCAGGTTCGAATCAAATAAGACTGATAGATCAAAAACAACACGCAGTCTACATTCTTGTGATGTATGCACTCCAAAAACTCTCTTTAAATTTCATAAAGGATAGCTATAACCTCTTAAGCATGAATTCTTCCACATGTGACTAGGCTGCGATAAACATCGATACATCAAATACTGATCCTCATTTTAAGCCGAAAGCAGCCCCAGACGTTCGGAAATGTAACTGCATCAAGGCATAATGATGAGATACTGAGGAAACTTACAGGATGCTAATTATAAATGGAATTTTTCAATGATCTCAGCAAAAAGTGCACGCTAAAAGCGATAAAACTGATCGCTGGATAGGTGTGAAACTAATCATAGTAATGCTTAAATGCATTTCAGTAAATAAGTATAAACGACATTACAGTCGTGATAAACTCCTTTATGGGATTATTGGCACTTGAAAGTAGTCATAAAAAGCAGTAGATTCGTGTAGTTGACATATGGAAATGAGATGATCAATACGTTACGAACAAATCAAATGTCATACAATGACAATAGACGATATAGGATTTCAAATTCATGCGAACATACAAACTGTTTTCCGTAACGAAACATCAAACAGACTTCATAATCGAACTTACGTTTCCAACATTAATCTCAACGCTTCCATTCAGCGAAGTTAGCGAATCTGATCTATTGTTGGTCAAATTCTCATTTTTATCATCTTCAATGATCAGTTCATCGTTATCATTCATATTGCACGATGCCGACGACGGTGGTGATTTGACTGAGTATGCCTGTGAAGATTTGAGATGATTTATTTAGTGATGATTTATTTATTCATCAGAAAAACTAGAATCGGCAGTTTAATTGAATGAATTATTAAAACTGTATATATGCTATAAAATCATCCAATATAAAATATCGCATCAAATAAGAAATTTTATGCAGTATTCAGACGTCAGTCTTGCTTTCAAAAAACTTTAAGTAATATTAAAT